GTGCGCTAAATTCAGTATTAATTTCATGGTAATTGCATTGCTTGTTATGCCAGTATTCTCATTCAATCACAAATGTAAGGGGTTGTCGGTGACTTTTGAGACGGGAGTGTAGATTAATATTTAACAATTTTTCAACATTCGAGTCGCATACCCTAATTTTAACGTCTTTCGTTGAATAAACGTTGGTTCTAGGTAAATTCGTGGTTTTACTATCTAACATATTGCAATTTTTGCGTATGTATTACCTATAAGATGCGCTAAATTCAGTATTAATTTGCGGTGGTCGGTGACTTTTGAGACGAGTGTACAAACTTGTATTGAAGGTCATCCTGAGTATTAAGTTGTTAATAAAATTTGTAGCCATAATGTTGGGCTTTCATAAAAGTCTTTTTATTTGTATTTATGTCACTTGGCCAAACATGTTACATGTAGGCATTGCACCATAAAAATCTGTCATTTGACTTGGTCTTTCTTTGGTTGCATAAACAAAATCATGAATTAAAATTTTACTTTTAATATAACCAGTCTCCACTATATAGTCACTGAATGTATTGTACAAAATTGTTATTTGTTATAATAATTAGTACAATATAACCTTTAACAACCGTTTTTATACATACATAATTGACATTGCTTAATAAATATCTTTTATTAATCTACATATTATTCCAAACTATGCCAATTCTAAATTGACATACAACACAATTAACAAAATTTAGCTTTTGTAAGCCAAACAATAAAACTCGTTTCTAATTTATCAACGTGTATTATAATGTTCCATGTATTATTACTTAAATATTCTATTTTTTGGAGTTGAATTTTTTCTGATAACCAAGGTATAGAATGTCATAGGTCATGGAGAATATGGATGAATGCATATGACAAGGGATTAAGGGGGTAGAGTTGCAGAATGGGCTGTTTGTTAGTAAGTTTAAGATCAATAATAAATGACCCAAGGTATCAGGTATTGAAAGAATTTTAGAACCTGAAAATATTCATACTTTCATTGGACTATCAAATAATTTCACGTAACTGTCGAGTTATAACCAGTCGAGTTCGACACCGTCAGAATTCCTGCAGTTTTTGCTCTTGTGGATGATATGCGAATCAAAAAACGCGTTTCCTTACCATGGTTCATAGTAATAATAATAGGTGCTTCGAGCACTAACAATGAAATCACTAATTACCATAGAAAACTTCTGGTTCGAACTATAATATTTTCATCCTTTTCATTTTTTGCTTGGGAATAGCTTAATGGATATGTGGATTATTTGACTGTTGTACAGTAAGTATGCAATTATCACAAAAAAAGAAGAGAAAATCTGAATGGAGACAGACGTTTCGTAAAATCAGATGTTCCTATCCCAATACTAGAATTCATCAAGTTTCGCAAACAAACGTCCAAAAAGATTATCATCATTATACAACAGGTCGACAAAACTTTCGCATGCCTGTACTTTGAATGTGGTTGCTAAATATTATCATATAGACCGAATTTTGGCTTTTCGTGCTCTGTACAAAAATGGTTCTAAATTTTGTGATACATAAAGGAATACGAGAACTCAATGTATTTGTAGTATTATACCTATGGGCTTGATCCAAAGTCTCATAGGAAGAAAGTTTACATATCAAGCGAGTCTTATTCAACAACAATAAGGAAAACAGAAATCTAAACAGATTCACAATGTAGTAAAAGTCTAAAACTAATATTGTTCTTACTCACAACTTACGTCAGTGTGGTGAGTTAGCAAGTAGAATATTTATCCCATTTTCCAAAGTTATGTTCTATAGTGATTCGAATTAACTTGTATGATTCAAGTGTAAGAAGTCAAAATGAATTCTATATTAAACAAATACAAAATAATCCAACCTTCTGATTCAACCAATTACCGATTTACATGCCCGCAATTTCCCATTCTTCGCCTTCCCTCATTTCTCTAACAATTTTTCAGTCCTCCCTCATCTCGTCCAAGTCTATCGCTCCTCACACCACTCGTTTTCTTTTTTCACCTGTGCTTCCTCTTCTGGTGTAAAATCATTTTCAATGTTGAATGTTTTACGAATTTCCTCGGGAGTTTTGCCTCTAATCATGTTTGCAACCGTTTTACATGTTAAATCGAGCAGAGGCTTGATATCGAGATAGTTTGCAGCCTTTGCGAGTTAAAATATTATTTACAGAATGATAAGAGATTTTAGTATAATTGGTCATCTCAGAATTATCGGCAAGTAATTCTCGCACTCTATCGCATTCTTCTATATATACTGATATATTGATAACGTCTTCGCCTCCCGCACATGTCTCCTCTCATTACCAAAATCAACTCAAATAATGTTCCCTGATCAACTTTACAGAATTCTTTATCCCAGTCATCAATATCAGCTGAAGATTTCCTGCCATCGTCCTCCTGAGTTACTACCGGGTCATCTCGGTGATGTGTACAGTATTCAATGACCTTGGTTAGAATTGGGCCGGTGACATTCGCAAGGGGAATAGCTGAGATAGAAAAGAATAGAAGAGTAAGATTTGCGATCTAAGAAGGATTAGGAAAAGGTGCTGCATGTGAATAAGTAAGCTGTGTTATGTAGTATTCCTATCTCACACAGCACACTTATAACTACATAATGCTAGAACTCTACTTAACCGTCCTCTCTCCGTGCGAACTTTCATTCAAACCGTACCCAAGTCACTCTCACCAACATCCTCTAACATGTTCTTCAACAATACAGATTTCTCGGCAACTACTCTTTCTACTAAGAATTCTGTTCCTTCCGAGGAAGTTAGCCTAATCATTCTCTGGTCTGCGCCTGCCATCGTTTAAAACGAAGTCGAGTAAGGCGAGTGCTTGTATAAATATCACAATAATCGCATGATGTCATGTCGCATTGATATTACGTAATCTTGAGGGGTTATCAGCTTGCATTCAAAATTAAACATATCGGGTTGTTTACCTAGAAAGGTGACACAATGAGCGCCGGTTATTGCGTATGCTTTGCCGGTGAATTCTCCAAGGCTAATTTGTGAGTTTAATCGTCAACTCTCGGCGAGCTTGGTTGCAGTTTCTATGATGTATACTTGGACTTGAGAGAACCAATAAAGATGCTACAGGATTAAAATTCGCATAATAATAACAATATCTGACAAGCACTACATATACATGCGGAGTTATATGTCCGCAGTTTTGACACAAATGGAAACAAAGGCAAAACAAATGTTGAAGACTTGTACTTTCAATATATTAACAAAAATAGTATGAATGGAATATGGAATACCCATTGATTCCAATAATAAAGAAACTCATTGAGAACAAAGTTGAATATAACATTCTTGTCAACCATAGATACCGTATTAATACAAATGCTGAATATCAATAAATTAGTTTCTAAGCATCTCTGAATGAGTTGTTTCATTAGTACTCGTAATGGCGACAAATGTCAATATCCAATACATTCTCATGAATCCTGTTGTTATTGTTATTAGCTACACATTGAGCGTATGCCAAAACTTCTGCGGCCTTCCCTTTGGCTCGAAAACATGTGAATGACTATTTACTATAATAATAAATTTTATTCTCGGTCTTACCTTATACGGACACCCGTAACAGTAACCATAGCAGTATTAGTACATTAATATGCGGGGTTCGGGACAGGGCGACTTGTCAATAATAGATTAATGATATATAGTATTTTGTCGTCTCAAAGCTCACTCAGAAACCGAATATCCCGGAAGTATAATTTTATTTTATACGAATTGGACATCCAGAACGCTTATAAACTGAGCACGGGATTGCTAGTTGCACATTCTTTAGATACATTTCGATAGTTATCTGCTGCGGAAATATAAAACTCGCATAACTATCCGGGAGTTGTATTCTTTCTAGTTGAACGCTATAAGTTAGTTTCATGATCGTCTTCAATCCATTTCGACGACTTGAATTTATCGCTATGCTTAATTATAAAAGGAGCTAACAATAAGCGTTCTGCAATTATGACAATAGTCATTAGTGTAGGGTTGGTTATCTCGTATGTTGGGAAACCTAAAGCGATCAGAGGCCAGCCCGTCCACCTAGTACCGAGCTTCAAACTAATTCAGTGTTACAAGCGTGTCTTAGATTCATTCACACATCAATTTTTAAATACAAATCTGCATTCACATACTGTACATTGAGCATATACTGTTATCAAGCTTACATGAATAAACCACACTTCGTTTAGTCGGAATGCCTCAACTGGTATTCATTATATAACATCACAATTCATTTTATGATGCTCTATCTGTATCACACTCAGCCACGCTTCTATTATGGCCTAGATACGATATTGAATACATTTTTTTCATTATCAGCAGATTGACATGCCTAACCGAATGTACAATATTACTGGCTAGATAAATGTGAACTGTTACCAATCAATGAGCATACAAACCAGCATTTGCAGGTGTATAATCACATATTTTGGAACCAATGGCAGGCTACTTCTATCAATACTAATACTGTGCACTTATGGTAATGTAAAAAAGTGTTGTGATGAAAAATCACATATTCTAATATGGTGTTAAAATGCTGGAGTTTGCGGATTACAAATTCTGGTAGAAACATTAATCTTGTAATAATAGTATCAGTCATATTAGTATTACTGAGTCGTATTCAAAAGGCCTATTCAGGAGATACCATCCAAGTTTCTGAAATTAAGGAAAGAGAAGGGTTCCAAAGAGAATCTGTGCAGGAGAGGGTGAGTCGAGTTCAGTCTGTTCCAGGATTTGCCAAGGTAAGTAGCTATTATCCAAAATTTCTGTCTAGTAAAAATGCATGTCAGAGGTTTTAAAGAGCAGAGCTCAGAGTCAAATATTCAATCCACAATATCCAGATGCAAAGCATCTTCATTTTATGAGACAGATACAATTATACCCAAAACCTTTTCATTCACTTCTGTATTAGAAGGCGGTTAAAAACAAAACCATATAGCCGCAATAATATATTGATAGATTGTAGCAGATCTCTTTATTATTTTTTTGAAGACACCAAACATAGGATATAACTGTCTCGCCAACTACCACGGGAGGCTTGGCTAACATCTACTCCTGCTTAAATTGCTAATACAGTTAGTGACTGTGTTTCGGATTCTCGACTGTCAATTACGCTATAGTTATGTCTCTACTCAAATCGATGGGATTAATTCCAATGGGGGTTATATTATACCGTATACGCGTATTTTAGTAATACACGAATTAACGATCGTGTTTGCCAATAACGAGAATTGATAGACAAGATCAATTCTACCCAACCCGCAGTTTACGACTGAAGTGGCCAGGAATTAAAGTCCGATATGTATAGTGTTTATTATATGAATAGTAATCTAATAATAGTACAAGTGTTGAAGGAATGTTCATATTAAAGAACGAAATTCAATTGTAAGATACGCAGAAGATAAGGCTGAATTACTATTGCTTATATATCTTCCAATCGTTTCACTAAATTAATTGAATGGCATGAATTTTCGATAAATTAAAAATTTATGGCAAAAATTTCGTCCCGACTTGGCTTATTTTCTTGCCATTGCTGCGTATGGCATGGATTGCGCAGCTTCTTGTTTAAAGTTCGATGCGTCGCAGCTCTCGGAAATTACGCAGAAATTACGAAGAAATACGTCATTCATAATACATGGTTCTCTAGGGACCGAGCGTTTTCTCCCTCAACCCTCCTTCCATACCAGCATTGCACAGTTTTTTCTATTTCCCACCGCCCTCTCTAAATGCACGCCCGTCGAGACAATTGGATATTCTGTCTTTATTGTAGAACAGACGAGATGATTGGATGAATGAAAGATCAAAGAACTGAATAGGAGTGTATGCCTGAAATAAATTCAAATTCTATCAGGCCAAGTGAATTGTGATCGTTAAGCAGCTTTATCCTGAATCTTTGATTTAATTTCAGTAACAAAAAATTTCCTTATTATGTTAATCAGCTTTTGTTAAAGCTGAAGTCATCTTTGTCTGTCGTTAATAATAAACACTCAAAAAAAACTATCATCGACACTGCAAAAGCTATCATAATCTGCTGTGTCTTTATTCGAATTGTTGTGATATGCAGACTAAACCGTTCGTTCATTTTTGCTGCAACAGCAAGACTCTAAAAAGTTGCTAAAATATGTTTGAACGATACATTAGTTTAACGATAGATCACTTTTATCAAGTCACGTGAAACCAAATAAATGCCGACCCGCCGTAAATGCATTGCTTAGGGTGTGGAATGCCCAGTTCGAATCTGAGAAATTTAACTAAGCAACTGATGACGGTTTTGTTTTAATGATACAGCTTGGCTCATGTATTAATTTTTAATTGCATTTTTAACAAATTTACATCAAACCTCATGTAACAAAAGAATTATAGCACTATTAGAAGTATTTTAAAGAAAAAAAACTCGCATCTTATGTTTTTAATACGCAAACTCTCCAGGAATATCTAGATAAAAAAAAAATTATTTATGCAATTTATCAAGGAGAGCAAACATAAAAACTAATAATAAACGAGCATTGACGATGAATCAGGAAAAAACGAAAATTAGAAAAAATATAACAAAATATCTAAGAACCATTGGTTGAGGAAACAAATTATTAGACTATATAGCATTAACACTATAAGTTCAGATCATGGATAAAAGAGACTTACCATCAGTATCTTTTTTTTTTTTTGTATTCTAGGAATAAACCCCTTATTTTTATCACACTATTTGTAGCTGCTTTTTTTATTATCATTGGATATATTTACCCGACCTTTATTCTTACTAGCAACCACTATTATATATTACTATCGTATTGGAAACAATGAATCACGAGAATAAATTTGTTGTAAGACCGAATCAACTGTTTCAAAATAACCGTAACATATTTTTAATGAACTAGAACACGCAATCTGATGAGCATGTAAAAAAACACGACCCACACTTGTATTTAGTTTCACTATCTGTACTTCGCTCTACTATAAACTCACAATTAATTTCATGATATGACTCAAACGCTTGTAACGATAAATCAAAGACAATTGAATCAAAATACCAGCCGCTCATTAAGCGAGAATACTCATCAAATATAACACATTTATGAATAATGTCTAAGCTAGACTCAGTCTTATTTAAGAAAATGGTTATAAAATTCCACAAATTACACGAAAGAAAGGCGTTATTGCCTTTGTTCTAAAAAGCCACCAATGATATCAAAACCCAACCTTTGAATTCACCTTTAAATACTTGAAAGACAACCCTGAAGCTACTGAGGATGATATTAGAGAAACATATGAAGAACAACAAGGTAAGCAAGCAATGAATACACGTTTATTGGGAGATAGTTAGAAAGTTATCAATGAGAGGCGGTTGGGTGTTATTAGTGGTCATAGCAGAGCGGTTATATGTAAACTCGTTTCAAAGACGAACTGGAGGAGACAAGAGACATTATTATTATGGGTTAATAGAGGAGCAACAGATGGAGAATAGTTTGCTGTTACAATGTGCGTTAGTATTAGATCGTGTTGTGTTATAGCAAAGGTTATAGATTGTTTCAAAGATAGACTAGTGAATGTTATCATGTCGCTGTATCTGTTTTCGTCCATCCATTGGAACTTTGATATGCTGTCTGCTGTTGACTTATTAATGCTTCATTCTTTTTCATCTCTGTTGTTGAACCTAATCTTGTTAGACGAAGAAAGTATATTAGAGCGGTCGGTAGATAGTGCTGAAAGTGAAGAGGAAACTCACCACATTTTTTAGGCATAAATGTCTTCTAGTAGAGTACTGAAAAAGCATCAGAATGGAATATTATTGGAGTCCTTAACACATATGAGCTGGAGTCGTTTCAACAAGTAATAGAATGTTACCTTTATTCTCTCAAAAGGCTTTTGACAGACCCTTTCAGAAAGGTTCTCTTTATTGACAAGTGGGAGCAAGTTCATTCTTTATTTCTGATCACTATGTGATCCATAAGCTCCAAATGTTTATATACATGCGCCGTACGAAGATAGGAATTTTTGCAATCTTTACAGACACACATTCAAATATTTCGAACTGACACTAAGAGTCTGAAGATCCACAACATTTCTTTAAATATGGAAGACTTCTGTGGGTGCACTATTATCACCTACTATTTATTATCATGTAATAGTGATTCAAATTTTAAATTTGACTTGTAATTACATTTTATCTACTTGTTTTCACTTAGCTTGTACTACTATTACATTCACCTCCAAAATTTTTATATTTAATACATGTCTAATTTGTGACAAAAAAGATTAAAAATTGCCAAGCTAATTTCCTGACTTGAATCTGATCAAACATGCATGGCCAAAATGTCAGCTTCGAAGGTGTACAAATCAAAAATATTAACCTCAAGTACATTAGTAAAACGATTCACTACAACAGTTTAAAGTTGATTAATTTTTCGATATATCATCTCTCATTGGTAGATAGCAAATTTGGGGGTCTATGAGAGGTCAAAAAAGATCCCTAAATCTTTGTGATCAAATTCTCATTCGAGATTTTGATAGTGTAAGATGTATTTTAGTTCAGGTTTTGCTTTAAATTCGGGTATTTATTTTCTCATGGTGGTGTTTTAGGTTCTTGCGCTCTTGTCGTAGTATGTATGCTAATTAAGCCGCAAGAAATATCGACCGAGTTACCCAATAAAGTTTTTTTGCCGGCCGAAATGAGCTATGAATCTGTTCATTATGACTTTTTTGTCTGGCTTGAAAAATTCAAGTATCAATTGATTCTACAAATTCAAATTATGAGCCCGCGAACTGACTTGCGTGATTCCTGTCAACGCTTGTCAAGAAGTGAGGCTTGTTAAAAAGTATAAAACATCTAGTCAAGAAGTCGGAGCGAAAGTCAAATATCAATTGGCAAAAAAACAAAGCGACTTGTCAATCAACATCATTTAATAGCAAATGGTAAAGAAGCGGTCCGTAGGCAGATTAATTACGTGCTGGATGAGAACAAGCTTTTGGGAAAGGCCTAAATGGCATTCTTAGACTGAAATTAAACAATGAAGTAAAGAGAAAAGTATCTCAAGATTATTCGTGACAATGCAGGTGGGGGGAAAAAATACAAAAATAATATCATGTATTTGGTAATGCTGTTATTATGAAAGTATTGAGCTGAACTTCACGATTTCGGGCTAAATTCAAATGCAATGGCAGTTTTGGTCCGATTAAAAGGCGTTATTGTGAAAAGACGGTCGAAATAGTAAAAGTCTAGCATTACCAGACTAAATAAAACACGGCGTTATAATAATGAGCTGGTTTCAATATTTTTGACATAATAAGTGGTCTAGAAACTTATTTTAGAAAACTGGTCGAATTAACGTATAAATCGAATTAAAGAATGTCGAATTATCTGTATCTCCTCCAAAGAAGTATAACCGGCAGAATGCCTTGATAATTACACTACCTGGACAAAAGTATCGACCCTCTAAAAAACGCGACGTATTTTTTACGCGTTGTTTCCAGCTATTTTCTTTTCAAGGTAAATTTGAATCTTTGACTTAAAATTTCTTAATTAACTGAAGCGTTTTCATCAGAGAAAGGTATTCTTAAAAGTATGCTTTATAATGGCAGCATAATAATAAGGTTCATTAGCCGATTAAAACAGTGGTTAAATGTGACGACGTCACATGTTCACTTGTATTACTATTCACCATATCACCTTATGACTAGACAATGAATGTACACAAACCTGTACTGCTGATCTGCAAACACCATACATTAGTCTCGCTGCTGTCGCATTCTTGTGATTACCAACTACGCAACAGTAACGCTTACTGAGTAACAGGACTCACCTGACATCCACCTCAACCCAGACTACAACACGCTCCGTTCCTGGACCAATACACTCTATGACCTCAACAAACTACGACGTTCTCCCGAAATACTATCTCTAACGTGTCACAAATATTTATCCGGTGAGTGAAAGGTGAAACTATAATGCACAAGAAGAGCATAGATAGGTAAAGAAGCGTTCGATATATGCGATGAACCAGTAAACGTAAGCTTTCGATATAACAACAAAAATAGAAACAATACGACTCAAATACTGGCAACCTTGTTTACCATAAACTTACTAGCATAAATCAAATCTGGTGCATTTTTACTATTCTTTATATACAACTATAGTCGGCATACATTGCACCAACAGAACGACCACATACAGAACAGAGTGTGAAAAGAGAAAGAAGAGGCGAAAGAGCAAGTACTACGTGCTGGGGCTGGAAGACAACTCCAAGACGAGTCAGACAGAGCAAATACACAACACATACTGTTCTTCCAAAACCCGCCATTGCTATTCTGCCCAACGTTCTCTTCTCTCGTCTTGCAACCAAGTCTGTTCAATATACGTTGTGCCCATATACCTATATAGAACTGCAAACGGTAGTCAATGGCAAACGGTGAGAAAAGATTGATACAAGAAGATAGAATGGAAAAGAGAAAAGTCACAAAGAGACGTCAGACCGGAACTGCTAAAGACGACTTTGAGGTATGAAATACGTTTGATTTGACTTGCTTTACAATGTGATGTGACAGAGGTTAACAAGTAGTCATCTTCTATTGTGGCTTTCGTTTTAGTCAATATGCTATTTTGCCGATTATAATTACGACATTGGATTTACACATTCTTACCCAATCTTCTCTCCTTATGTACGACGAAAACAGCTGAACCAAACTCCGCCATCCTCTCCACTCCTCTCCCCACACATAACTCCATCTTCACTCGAAGCACCTTCACAACTACAAGTACCGCAACCTCACAGTTTACTTACATCTCAGTCTCACATTCTCACTGTATCACCTCCTCCTTCTCAATCTTCGTCTCGTCCTTCTTCACCAACGCCATTGGAAATGTCGCCCCTGATGTCATTGCCTCTCCGTCCATCTACTCCTACGCATAAACATTCAAGCAGTCATGATTCGATTATTACGTTGTTTGGGCGGGATAATGGAGGAGATAAAGATGGACATGCAAGTAATGGAAATGGTGTGATTATAAATGGCCCTAGTAATGTGAGCAATGGTAGTATAAGCAATAGTGTAGCCGGGAATACAACCACATCTAATGGTACGAACATACAATTCAACCGCACAAAACACACTTCATCCTCATCCTCATCCTCATCTTCATCTTCGTCACCATCGTCACCGCCATCTCCGTCATCGCCATCACCGCCATCGTCACCATCGTTTTCTGCTACTACTACCACCGCCATCAACGAGGAAACAAAATCTCTTCCAAACGCCTTTAGTACGTCTTCATCAGCCACCACGACCACTGCTACACCGCAGGCATCTCTTTCCACACGAACTCATCCGCCGTGTTCACGCTGCCCACCCGAAGTCTTCCTCACAATCTTTGAGCTCTTGTGTTCAACCCACCAAAGTTCGCTTTTTTCATGTATTCTCGTGAGCCGGGAATGGAACTTTATTGCTACGAGTGTTTTATGGAGTAGTCCACGTTTTTCTCATATGCGTGCATTGGATAAATTTATTGGAACTTTAGAGGCAGGACTTCGGGTTGGATCCGGAGAGAGGATAGAAAATAAGAGTATTAAGAGGGATAGAAAAGGGATAAGTAGTGGAGAATGTATAAAAAAAAGCAGTATTGGTCGTACGCGACGAGAGAGGAAGGAAGTTGGGTTAACGGAGGAGATGACAAATCGAGGTAGCAGCCAAATAGATGTACCGAAAGTGGAAGGGCAGCTTGAAGAAGCTGATAAAACGCTACAGGTGGCAAAAGACGATGAAACAGATCAGTTAGACAGTGCAATATCATTATCATCATCACCATCATCATCGCCATCATCATCCTCATTACCAAGTGCATTATCTCAATCAGCATCAGCATCATCATCACCCCCTCATCCATCAAATCTATCATCATCGCCACCCTCGATATTACAGTCCCATAACTCACGCTTGCCCAATCCATACCACCACTACCAATCCTACGTCCGGGCGCTCGACCTGACCCACCTAACCGAACACGACCGCAACAGCTCTGCCCTGTCCACACATCTTCTCCGTCTTCTTCCCATTATTCACGACGAAAACTTCACCTCTCTCAACCTTTCCTTTGTGAAAGGTATCACTAATACCTATCTTACAAAACTACTGTCCCCCTTTTTGTCTCACATCAAAACTTTAAACCTTGCCGGCGGTTCTCGATCTGATTCTTGCATGTCGTCTGTAATTCCAAATTGTGTTTCTGTACAGCATTTGTCCCTTGCGTGGAATACGGGAATATCGGATTCGAGTATTGAATTAGTTGCCGAGTATATTGGCCCAAAACTGCGATCGTTGGATTTGACCAATTGTGAAAAAGTTAGTGACAGAGCTTTAATAGCAGTTGCCAAGGGATGTACTAGGCTAAGAGTATTAAAAGTGAGTTATTGTAGGGGTATTAGCGAAGAAGGTATTAGCGAAGTAATGAAGAGATGCGAAGAGCTGGAGATATTGGATGTGATTGGCTGTTTAGGAATTAATAACGAATTCGTTAATACGATCAGAAACTGGGGCATAGGAAGAGGGCTTATGGTTTACACTTTTAGCGGCTCCCGTCGTGGTAACTAATAAAGAGCGGAATCTTGTGGGATGAATGGATGAGTGGAAGGAATGGTAACGGTGTAGGCGGGGCGCATTTTAATAGGAAAAAAGGAAGGCGAAATAGTTTGTATTAATTGTAAAGTTTTGCTCTTGTTGTTCCTTTTTTTGGTAATTAATTAGTTCAGAATAAGAATCATGATATTTATTGATCATTAAATTCACTGTTTGTGCATGCGAATGTAAGAAATTTATTAGACTGTTTTCCGTACGAAATTTTATATACCCAACATATAATTCCACCAATCGTTCTATAGAACCTATTCAGTCTGCGGATCCTTTGCCGATCATTAATATTAACGATTATCAATGGTTGTCAATATGTCACAAAAGTACTGCGCTTTAGTATTGTAAACTGTCTGTTAATGGTAATATTAATAGATAAGCTGTAAAAAAATGTCTCAAGCCGCTTAATTTTGCACTGTTTTTGGCATAAAGTAAATTGGGGCATGCTGCAACAAAACCAAACAAAGTGAATATTTGAATATGTGAGCTAAAAATTGCTAGTGGCACAGCTTTGACTCCTATGGACTAAATTTTTTAAATCTAATCGTAAAACGTTTTACTTAAAGTTATAATAGCTAATAGGGCTATCTCCATACAAAAAATAAATATGAAAGTAATTTATATTAAATCCACCATGGAACCAAAGAATTACAGCACTATTAGAAGCGTTTTAAAGAAAGCTCAAGGTGAAAAATTGCTCCATATGTTTTTAAAATCAATAATACCAAAATTCTTGAGTATCTAGATAAAGAAAAAATAGCTTATGAATTTTACCAAAAAGAGCAAAAAATAAATGAGCATTAACACCAACTTATGATGAACCAAGGAAAAAACGAAAATTTGAAGAGACTTAAAGAAAGTAAGTTGAACAACAACAATTGATTGAAGAGACAAATGATTTTATTATCTCTTCTTTTTACCCTTTTTAATAGTACATAAACAAGACCTAGACCACATAATAACAACACCAGCACTGTAAGCCCAAATCATAGTAAAAAAGATTTAGTATTAGCATCAATTCATTTATTGTTGTTTGTCTTAGTCTTTTCTCAGCTGCTTTTGTGAGTTCGATCCTGGTACGCTTTCTCTGGATTTCTAATTAACCTCGAGTAAATACGCCTATTTCTCTCGGTGGGTGGGATAAGTATAAGTTGGGAAACTATTCTACTAATCGCGATGTCTCAATTAATTAGAAATCTTTATTGTCAAAGGCCGGTAGTATTGAGGGCAAGGTCGATTCTATCTATCGCTGATCAAGAAAGCGTTTTTAACACTTTATCGGCGATACTACAATATAGATCAGAGAATACTATTTATAAGTTCTTGATAAATTAAATATAATATGTTTATTTGATTAACTATATAAAGTGGAATTATTACAAATATTAGATTCAAGATCGAATCTTTTCAACCGAAGACACCGTTTGCTAAATTACGACTGCTTATATATCTATTTTCTAGTCCTGCGCTTACTGCGCTTTTCCTGCCAAAATTTTACGACCACCCCCTGTCGATCATATTTTTTCGAAAATCTCTACTGGTCATATCTATTAAACAAATAACAAGATTTTTTGCACTGTTATGAAGCTAATTGATTGTATTCTTCAGGAAAAATAATGATTAAACTAGGCTAGTTGTCATATTAAAGCTGTGGTCCGATGAAGTGATAATATATTGATTAAACATATGATTACATATTAATATGACGACTGATCTACGAAAATGGGTAGTTGGTGATTTGGGGTTCAAATTTGGTTTTTGTGTGGGATATATACTCGGAGATGCTATACGGGTAGTCATATATATATATTTTTTATCATTTTTATGACAGAAATTTATAAGCCGAAGCATCAATGAGTTGGTATGAAATTTAAATGCCGAGGTACCGAGTCCAAGTTTGAGAATTCTCCCAGTGCACAATGTTAGTCTCAGCATAAAAATAAACGGCGGAACGAACACATTACAAATATGTGCAATGATGTGACTCTATCTATCGCCCAGCCAGCTCAAAATACAAATTAAGCAAGTATTTATTGTAGTAAGGTGCATGATTTCTATTCAGTATTACTACTGCGACTCAAATTCTATTATGCCACCATCTCTTTTAACAAACAGCGCAACTGATCCATCTCTTTTTGTTGTTTTACCTTATTATTATCGATAGTTGCTAATCCGAAGTCAATAATAAAAACGCTCTTCCTGTCATTGCTAAGGATAATGTTTTCTTTTCGGATATCGTTATGGATAACGTTGTGTCTGTGTATTTCAATTAATGCTTTATAAGCATTCTGTTCCTGTATTCTGTTAATGGTTATGCTGTGCTCCAACGATTTGCCGACAATGGTTGTTGCAATAGCGAAAAACATCTTATCCCACATATACCCATAGCCTACCAATTTTGGTATGAACAACCCTTGAAGATCCGCGAGAAAGTGATAGATTTCTATTTCTTTTAATAGTTCGGGTAAAAGGAATTTCTTTTTTGACAAATCAGTAAGTTTTAGGGCTATATCTTGCCCATTGTATTTACAACTGAACGTAGTTCCACTCCTGCCATAACCCAGATATTCCCCGACGAAATTGCCAGACTGAAAGTTTCCTGAGCCTGGCGGTTCCGTTCTTACTTGTGGAGCGCTGTTAGAATTGTTCTTGCGTGCACGAAACGAATATCTTTGTGGCGGCTCCGATTGAGAATTTTCATTCGACAACCTAATTATAATATCAGGATGTTCACAGAAAGGTTGTTCCTTTGCCTGCTTTGCAAGATACGCATATGCTTTTAGCACCGTAGGGTTATTAGATTGAAGATCGAGTGTTTTGGAAATATATATTTTGGCTTGTCTAGAGATGATTTTGCTTGACTTTGTCAATACACACTGCACTCTTGGCATACAAGCGATGGGAAAATTTGATACACTCCCGTCCCAAAAGTCACCGACCACCTCTTACATTTGTGCATCCATAACAAGCGATCAATTCTCTAATCACCTCGCCTTAGCGTTTCGGGTGTCGAAACCTGTCCTAACGGACTAGAAACATACGTATAATAAACCATTAGCGACATAGACATCTTGTAATGTAACACAATAATAATAAACGTTGAAATGTGGGTTGTTCATTCGAACAATGTCGTTAGTTCCAGGGTTTAATAATATAGCACTTGACGACTTAGCAACTGTTATATCAATTGTTATTTTGGTTTTCATCGCGGTATTCGTTTTATGTTACCATGAACACGCGTATTATACGCTTTTTGACAAAATGGCGTATTATGATCTCAATAGTAAAAAGTTCTTTTATTAGTACGCGTTTTCTTTTTAAAACGTCGGCTGGCAGTTATTTCTCCGCCATTCATTGCTTTCAGCTGAACCATTACAAATATATATTGTTCGGATCTGGAGAGAGCTTGAAACGCTTCACGTAATTCGGCAAACTTCTCTCTCGGAATCTTTTTTGAACAACCACAATTGCAACCTATCTCCAAGAAACGTATTGCCTTTTCATATTCAGTGGAGCCATTATATTCATTATTCTTCATATACAGGTAATCTTAATAATTTGTAGTGCGTGAAATAGTTACACGATTACCTTTCATGTATTGTAACCACACTAAATTCTCTAACAAAGAACAAGAGCTTCTCACGAATACAACGATCAGAATATACTTCTGTAAACGAAATTCGACACTTATTATGCAAGAATAGATTAAAAGCAAAGATAACAATGAATCACAACAAGCAATTTATTTGACTAGAATTATCAAACAAATCCGAAAATATCGGATTACTTTGGATTATACTACTAATGATCTTACGCATTTCATATTCTCGTATCTCTTCTGTGCTCATATCATCATAAAGATCCTAATATATTCCGAATTTAATACTATTAATAGAGTTAATGATTAATGTAGAAGTGATAATATCAGTACAGATAAACAAAGTTACCTCTATTCTGGCTATATCATTATCAGAGTCGTTTTTTACGGGAAAAGCTTGTTTAACTTTCTCACGATACACTTTTATGTTTCCGAAAGTTACATTTTTTGATTCTTTCTTCTGGGTAGTGCTCACTAGCTGGCTAATTAAATCAAGCGCTTTCTCACGATGCGACAAACGCATTGATTTAATTCTTCTTTCCTTTTCTATCCAGTAAAAGTTCCATGTATTTACCAGATCTGTCAATACTCCAAAGACTTTAATTTCATCAGATACACAAAGATCTGCTATAAGCATTTCAATAATAACTTGTTTTGCATGATTGTCTTGCACATTCTTTTTCAATTCAATAATTGCACGTATTCCTGCTTGAACAAGTCCTGTCTCAACAGCACCTTCCTCGACCAATATAAGATCGGTTCCACCACGGATGTTGAACGGAAAGAGCGGATTGTTAGTTACACTAAAAAAATCTCTTTTACTAGAAACATCCAAAATAATTACTCCTTCAGGAAGTTTGGGTTTAAGATAGTGATTCAGATATATATTAATGTCTTTTCGTTGTTGGGGATTATTTTCAGCAGTGTCAGAACGCCAATGATAGAAATCAATGTCGTGTTTTGGTGTGTATCCATTATATTTCAAAGGCATTACAGAACTGTCGACATGATCACAGAATCGCTGAAACTGTGTAGTATTCACTGTTGAGATTGAAACCGTTTCAATTCTCCCTTCCATCACGTGTTGATATAGTGCATTGATCTTGTCGGTGACGTCGTCGGTAAGCGAGGCTTAATGTGATGTGAAAGGTGAAGAAAGTTAGTTGAGTAAAATGTTACAAGGCCGTCCATCAAGATTGACTTGACAGCTATTTGGGAAGAAAGCCAAGAAAGAAAAGCATGTCCCGATGACAAACATGAGTACAATTCAAAGTGAAATGCTTCATAAACTAATAATTTTTCATAAACGAAGAAGCATATTACTAAGTCTCCTCTACCCTATGTACACACTACTCTATGTCCCCAACGCCCGAGTCACAAAGTCGTTACCTGGCCGAGTAGCACTCGCATTGATAAGTCCTTGTAGATACTGGATTTTCTTTGCATCATCTGTTTTGCTCCTAAAGATTCTATTGAATATATCCAGTGCAGTTTGTTGTCTACAAAGCTCCGTGTAATACACTTCAAAGGCCTCATATTCAGTTTCCTCTAAGTGACTTAATGCAAAAGTCAGTGGATCAGTTGACATTGTTATATTCGTTGCAATATAAGCTGTAAAGGTAGTTTTTTCTCTTTTCAAGTATACCGAGATGTGCTGATCAGTGGCTTGACAAAAAACTCGTTAAGGAACTTTCACAATAGTAACTATTGTTCCCCTGTATGCAGAATGTGACCAATGATAATCAATGCGCAGAAATTGTTAACATGACGAATAAACGAGCAGTTTTTTACTATATCAGGAACGATTGTATGCAAAACCAGTTTTGTTTTTTACAATAATTGATACACATACTTCGTCATCTTGACTTCATTATTTCTTTAAAAAACAAAGCAGATATTTTTGAAGATTCACCAGAGCGATTGCATGGGAGGAAATACTCGGACCCAAAGCCATTGATGAGTACCCCTATACTTTGGTCGCGACTAGTGAATATTATTATTACTACTATTAACACCATCACTTTCCTTCTCCTTTTCTTTATCAACCCATTTTTTAAGCGCTTCGATCGTTTTTCTCGAGAATTGGCCTTTTAGAATAAAAGCGATAATGCTTTTTCTTCCGTGCACTTTGTGGTATTTTATAACCATTTTGTTGAATAAGATTGAGTCCAGCTCAGATGTTTTATCAAGCAACTTGTTAAGACCTTCCCACGAACATCTTATACTTGATAAGTATTTTCGCTCAACGAGCAGTTGGTATTTTGATTCAATTGTCCTGCGTTTGGGTTATAGTTCGGACATGATTGTGAGTTTTATGGTAGCGCGAAGTATCAACGATAACTCGCAGAAGATTTCAATAGCGAAGGTGAACATTTTGTTATTTGATTTTTGTAGATTATAAAATTATCTTCCGATAATACGATTGGTAATTGTGTCGCACTTGGGCACAGCAAATCAAAATTATCGTATTTATACTCGAACGAATTACGGAAATTTGTCCCGGTTATCGATAATTATTAACAATAATAAAGAACAGATTTATATTTCTTCAAGTTTTCGTTTTTTTTTTCATGGTTCATTATAAGTTGGTGGTGATGTTCGTTTATGATTTACTATTTTTCGTTCTTCTTGATAAATTTCATAAGTAATTTTTTCTTGATCTAGATACTCCTGGAGAGTTTGGGTATTATTGATTTTAAAAACATAGGGAGCAATTTTTTCTCCTTGCTCTCTTTTTAGAATGCTTCTAATAGTGCTTTAATTCTTGGGTTCCATGGTGGATTTAATGTAAATTAGTTTCATATTAATATTTTTATATATAGAGATAATCCTATA